AGGGAGCCCGATGTGGGGCTCGATCCCAGGACCCCGGGATCATGACCTGAGCCGAAGGCAGACGCTTAACGACTGAGCCACCCAGGCGCCCCTAAAGAACTTTCTAAGTCAAGACATCTTGAGTCTGAGGACCTCAAGCCCATTTCACACCCTGCCTTATTCTGTAAGAATAGGAGTTAAGATTTACTCTCCCAGAAAGGGCAAACACGGGACACGCATTATGCAAATGCATAATCATCTGGTACCCAAGGCAGACATGTCTAATGGGTTATGATATACTTTACTGCTGGCCTCAGCCTCAGATTTTTTTTTTTTTTTTTAAGATTTTATTTATTTGTCAGAGCGAGAGAGCGAGCCCAAGCAGGGGGAGTGGCAGGCAGAGGGAGAAGCAGACTCCCTACTGAGCAAGGAGCCCAATGTGGGACCTGATCCCAGGACCCTGGGATTATGACCTGAGCTGAAGACAGACGCCTGACTGACTGAGCCACCCAGGCGTCCAGCCTAAGATAATCTTAACTTAGTATTCCAAGGAGTCGCTTCTAACAATCTCAACTGGCACAGAAAAAAAACCCAACCCATTTACTTTATCAAGATCTTAAAATCTGGGGTCGTAAATCTGGAGTCCACTGATTTGGCTTCCCAGGTTCAGTAGATCCCAGGTACTGGAGTGTGCAAAGTGGGAATGAGTTCAACGGATCTATGAAAAGGTTCGTGGCTCCCTAAAAGTGGGAGGGAAAAAAATCCCACTATAACAGACTAAACCTATTTAACAAGCAGTCTAAGTTTTGAGGCCATAAAAAAGAAAAAAACCACAAAACTGTCTACAGTTCAGACTATGCCCCTAAAAACTATGAATTATCATCATCATTTTGTTCCTGTTCTAGAATGCTTTTGGTTGGAGGCTACTAGAAAAAGTAACAATCCTCCCAAGGCCCTGGTCTGGGCAGTCAGCTGAACACTTACTCGTGTACCTCTTATCTTGGTATGTGGCACCCGTCCAGTCTGCAACCTGTGAGAGCAACAAGAGGAGAAAGAGAACACACAGGTCAGTCAGACACGTTTCTGCTGACCCAGAAACCCCCGTAAGTGAAGACGCGGTCTGGGGAAAATGTAAGAAGGACTGGCTCACAAGGCCTTTGTAAGTGCCCAGCTCTCCTAGGACTAATGGAAGTACCCAGACGTTATAGCCTTCCCCAGCTGGTGTCCCTATAAGGAACACAGGAGTTACGTTTTTGAGAGAATAAACTTGGAATGAACTAATGGAGGGTAGCAGCCACAGTTTAAAAGATTCACTCTCACCAACAGGCAAGTACCTTTCCTAGCCGATCTCCTTTGCTAAACGGCTGGTAGGGCATATCCCGAAACTGCTCGGGCACCGCACAGGGACCCCAGCCTGAGGGGTTGTCCTGGATCACGGGGGTCATGAACTTTGCCATCTTCTAAAACCTTAAAAACACAAATAATGTGAGTAGCTTCATGAAGAAAGGCCTCCGAGTACAAACAGCCTTCCACTGAGATAAGACAAGACATAATAATGATAAAATTCAAAAGGCAACACACAAAATGGAACACTCAACTGTTGAGCTCCTACTAAATCTGTTTCCTCGTAGATAATATTGTGAATACTTAAAACTTGGAAGACCACTAACAAAACTGATTTACCGTATTGCACTGATTCTGTGACACCCACTTTTCTCACTATAATATAACATCTTTGAAATGAGGCTGCACCTTATGCTTGATTGGCTGTCTTATCTTAATTGGCAGTCCGTCTTTCTTAGTGCTACATAACATAGTGTGCTTGTTAAACTCAATGGTATCTCAGGTTTGATAGAATGAAACCTTTTCTTAAGTGTAATAACCATGTTCTAGTTCTCAAAAACACCTTCACCAAGGCATACAATTTGTAGCTTCCCCAAGTTTCAGTCTTTTCATCTGTAAAATGAGTAAGACCCTTATTTAATTCATAGCACAAGATCATTGCAAGATTTGGTAGTTACACATATGAAAATGCTTCCATTGTAGGATGCCACACAATTACAACTGGGACTTGCAAAAAATGCATTTATACACGGGGTGCTGAGAAAAAAAAGGAGCCCATAAGTATAGTCTGATGTTTAACTTTTCTTTCTTGTTCTTCCGATTTTCTGTCATCAATGCAAATCCTTATGCAGAACAAGTGGACACAGAGCCAAGCAAACCTGTCAGAAAGCTGAGGTTACCATAAACCTTAGGCCGTAAAAGTGGCCATATGTCACATGTTTGTAAATATTATTAGTACCAGTTATTGGTCTTAGGTGTTTTCCCTGCATAAACTCAGTGAATGTCCCCAACAATCCTGAGGTAGCTTCAAGTATCATCCCCACTTTTCAGATCAGAAAATTGAAGCACAGAGAAGCTAAGAAATTGTTCAAATTTGCAACACTAGTTAATGAAAAAATCTGAACCAAAGCAGTCTGGCTGGAATCCATATTCTGTGAAATGTCCAAGCAGATCTTTGCCTGACAGTTCCTATCAAAAACCTATGCACTTATCATTCATCGTAATCCTCAGGTGAGTTCCCAGAGGAAAATTCATTGCACAAATATTTCTGGAGCCTGAAGAGTAATCAAAGTGCACCGGCAGAGTGATCGTGGGAAGTTCTTCTCAGTGTCCCATGACGGGGAAGAGATTCAAGCTTCCTACAGAAGTGACACCGGGGTGACAGCAAGAGGGAACGCACCCGAGAGCTTCATCCTTCGACTCTAAACTTAAGCTATACTACAGGAAGAGGACTGAGACAAGGAGTGGCAGCTTCAAGACAACTCTCGTTAAAATGAGTATTTACAGTGTGTCAGACACTGGGCTGAATAAGTTAACAGCACTAACCCCCCCACACCCCCATTTTAGAGATTAAAAATTTGCAACTCGGCCAATTAAGCTGTTGATCTGCCCACTGTTTCAACGGAGAGTTGATTTCCAGGGCTGTCTGCCTTAAGTCCAGCACTCTTCCCCTTATGTTATAGCTCGGCACCAGCCCGAAAACAAATGGGGTTGTAGACCGTACCTCATAACCCCGTAACAATATTTCAAAACGTGTAAAAAAAAAAAAAAAATCTAGTCGTTCTGCCACAGTTCAAAAAGGAAACAGACCCAAGGCTTGGCATGCACTTCTCCAGCGGGTGGGAGGACGTCCCCTGGCTTCCACAGACGTAAAGTAAGAATGAGCAGAATGGAACCAGAAGCAGAAACAGCCTGTCAGTTGCATCGGAGTGACAGCTGTACCGGCGACAGGCGCAGGGTGGGGCACTCAGAAGGGGCCCTGTGGCTGGCGGGGCACGGTGTTGTGTAGGTCATCGCGGCCACTACAGACCGGATGCCATCAGTTCCGGAGAAGAGAGAGTTCCAGATCAGAGATCAAACCTATGCTACCATAGCCCTCCATTCCACACCTCTGGACTGTGAACTCCTCAGGCCAGGGTCGAACGCTGCTCAGTTTGGAACCCCCCAATACCTCCTTCACAGAAACTCTGGGAACCTCTGGCCACTTTGAAGTCTCTGAGACCCAACGGGGTTAAGAGATACTATCAAAGTCGCTCAGCCCGTGGCCGCAAAGCGGAGCCTAAGGCCAGGGGACCTCACCCACAAGGCCGTGACCCCAGCCCTAAGAGTATCGGGCCTGGGGTCCCCGAAGGCGGATTCCTGCCCCGCCCAGCGAAGGGGCAGAGACGGCCAGAGCCGTACGGGAGGTCTCTTCCGGGAGGCCTCCGAAGGCCGGGCCCAGCCCAAGCCGGCTCCAGAGATCCACGGAACCCTACGGAACATTCCACTCACCTATATAGGCCTCTGCCGGGCCCGGATGGCGACAGATGGTCCGAGCCGGAGACCGCGCACCTGGTTGCCCTCCGAGGAACAGGGAAAAAGGGAGAAAGATGCGCACGCACCGGCCGGCGCCGTAAACACAATCGGCGCTGTCGTAAACTGCCCTCTAGCTTCCTCCGGAATCAACGGCAGAACGCACGAGTCGTAAAGCGACGGCACACCCGGAAATTCGTCACTGATCTTTGCGCGATGTCTTCGTGGTCTCCAAGGAGCCAAAACGCCGGAGGTGTGTTTACATTTACGTCACGGGCGCATCCGGCGACGCCCCCAGAGGGCGTCCCGAATTTTTGAAACGTGGCGGCGGTGCATTTGAAGCTGGAGGCGGGGAGTGGTGATGGTCTGTGTCCCGTAGCGCTTCACGGAAGCTTCGGCCCCTCAGTATCGCAGAGTGACCGCCTTCTCTGGCCAATCGTGTGGCTCGGGTCTCACAGCTGGGGGCAAGTTGACGGTCCGGGGCCGAGTTTACGGTTACCGTCCCTCCCCCCCTCCCCGCCCCTTCTTTTAGTTTCGGAAACTGAGGCCCAGAGGGCTAAGGTATCCTAAGTAGCTCCGATCGCTAGTGTAGGGGGTAGCCGCCAGGATTCCAACCACACTTACACGGTTCTCAAGCTTTGTCGTACGACGATTTCTGGAGCGCTAATGTGTAGAATGGAGACTCCGGGTCTCACTTCCATTGACTGTTACTCAGCTACGTCTAAGCTGGAGGCCTGGAATCTGCGTGTTAGCGATTGTGATTCTGAAGTGGTGACTCGGGAACCACTTTGCTGCAAAGGACAACGGTGCTGTCCTTTCTGCAACTATTGGCCTCTGGAATTTGTCCTAGATTTCTATTCGGGGATTTCAAAACATTGAAAGAGAATCTGAGGATGTGTTTTTATTCAAACTTCAGGTTCTTTTCTATCTGGTCTGCTAGGATTCCTTATCAGTCTCCCAGCGTGACTCCTTTATTGGAAAATAAATCTGTTAGATCTGATATCTGCTCGGCTCTGCCACTTGCTAACTGTGTAAGCTTCACATCTCTGGGCCTCAGTTTCCTTATCTGTAAATTGGAGACGATAAATAATTGAGCACTATGAGGGTAAAAATAAATTCATGTGAAAATAGTAATTCCACTTACAAGTTGCGTGAACTTGGACAGGTTTTTTGATCTCTCAAGCTGCTTACTCATTTGTGACATGAAAATATTAATGGGGGGGCACCCTAGGGGGTAGGGGGTGTTTCAGCGGTTAGGCGTCTGCCTTCAGCTCAGGTCATGATCTCGGGGGCCTGGGATGGAGCCTTGTGGGCTCCTTGATGCTCAGTGGGGAATCTGCTCACTCTCCCTCTGTAGCTGCCCCTGCTTGTGCTCTCTCTCTTTGTCAAATTCATAAAAAAAATCTATATTTAGAAAAAAAAATGTTAATAGGTGCATTTGTTTCCATAAATTTTCTCCCAACCTGCTCATGTTCCCAGTTTTCCTAATTTTTGCTGATGGCATCCAGTTAATGGTGCTCAGTGCAAAGCCTTGTAGTTAATCATCGATACTTCCTTTTCCCTTTCCCACCACATTCCCACATTCAATCATTTACCCAATGTTCCTTGCTCTACTTTCAAAATATGTCTTTTTTTTAAAAAAAGATTTTATTTATCAGAGAGAGAGAGCCAAGCATGGGGAGCAGCAGGCAGAGCAAGAAGCAGATTCCATGAAGAGCACGGAGCCCGATGGGACTCGATCCCTCCGTGCTGGGATCATGACCTGAGCCGAAGGCAGGCGCTTAACCAACTGAGCCACCCAGGCATCCCAACTTTCCAAAATACACCTTGAATGCTACCACTTTCCCCCACCATATCCAGCCTCTTGCTTGGACTCCCCAGTGTCCACTCTTGCTCCTCTATGGTTCCTTTTCCAATGGAACCCAAAGCAATCTGTTCACAGTCTTCTAGCAGCTTCCTATTACGTGCTTAGAGTGAAACATGAATGTCTTCCTGTGGCCTGTCTGGTCCCTGACTACCTTTCAACTTTATATCCTGTCTTTTTTTTTTTTTTTTTTAATTTGTTTCGAGAGAGAGTGAGCACAGCAGGGGTGGGGGTAGAGGGAGAGAGAATCTCAAGCAGACTCCCCACTGAGTGTGGAGCCCCACACGGGGCTCGATCTCACGACCACGAGATCACAACCTGAGCTGAAATCAAGAGTCAGATGCTTAACCATCTACACAACCCTGGCACCCCTGTATCCTGCCTTTCTCTACTCACTCTGCTGTAGCTACCATGATCTTTTTTCTATGCCTCAAGTACATCAACTTCATATCTAGCTCAGCAGGGCCTCTGCACTTGCTGTGCCTTCTGCATGGAACACTCTTTCCCAGATTTAACCATGGCTGGCTTGGTCTCATCATTTGCACCTCTGTTCCAAGAGTTATCTCCTCCATGAGATCTCTGACCACCATTCCTAAAAAGGCTGCTACTCCCTGCATCCCTCCTCGTCCCCTTACCCTGCTTCGTATTCTTCATAGTTCTCATCATGCTCTGAAATATTTTTCTGTTTCCTTGTTTAGGTTCTGTCTCTGCCTCTAGAGTATAAACTCCATAAGAGTAGAGGCTTTGTCTGTCTCACCTAGAGCAGTGCCAGTAATACATATTTATTGAATTGTTGAATGAAGGCATAGGGGTTTTAAGAGAATTGAATGAGAAAATAAATTTAGCACATTACCCTGGGCACATAAATAAGCACTCGATTAACGTTAGTGTAATTAAGATCAATATCAATTGTAACGTGTTCCAAAATGTAAGGGGAGATGTATTTTTGCTCAATTGCTTAGATCATGTCTTTTTTCTTCTTCTTCTTCTTTTGTTTTTTTTTGCTGTGGGTTCACAGGCCATCTGCTGCTGTCTCTCCCTTGTGTCAGAGTTTAATCATCTTTCCCATATTTTGGCCCAGACATCTCCCCAGATGGAGAAGGATTTGGAGTGTCCTGTCTCATTCTCAGTAGTGAGTCTCTGGCCTTGGGTGGGAGATCTTGCCTTTGTTCCTCCCCTCAACCGACACCCCTGCTGCCTCTCTCTCTGTCTATCCCCCTGTCTACATGCAGCTGGGATGACCCTCCTTTACATTAAATCAGAGTGCGCCCGATCTCCCGTCCTCCCACCTCAAAACAGTTTAGCAGCTCACCTCCAGCCTGGGGATAAAATCCTGCACTCTGTTCTGTGGCCTGCAAATTTCGAAATGGCAGCTTCTCACTGGCAGGATTCTCTTTCTGGGTCCTACCCAGGTTCATTACTGCCCGGAGACCTCTTTACCTGCTGTCCTCTGGTGCCCCGAATGCATCTCCCCTAGATCTTCACACACTCGTGTCTTCATCAAACAAACATTTCCTGACCACCCCTCTGAGGAGCCTCACGCCCTTTACTTTCTCCCTACCAGGGGCCTGGCGCTCCTTTGGGGATTTACATGAACTCATTTAATTCTCACTACAGCTGTGTGAGGTCGAGCCTACTAGTCTTCCCATTTTCCAGATGGAGATATGGAGGAGTGCTCTAGGCTGAGCAGTGCAGAGAAGCTGGGATCTCGAACTCAGGATGCCACCCAGCTCCTGCTTCTTTTGCTTCTCTGTTGGTGTTTTACAGGATGACTAACATTTGTCTTGTAAAAAATTATTTGTTTCGTTTTTTTTATCTCCTTAGGAGAAATGGAAGCCTCAGGAGAGGTGGGATCTTACATAGCTTGTCCACTGTTGGATTGCCAGCACCTAGAATTAGCACACAGTTGGTGCTTGGAAAATGTTTGTTGGGCGCGTGAGGATCTCTGCGGACAGGTCCTTTCTTCTGTGTGTCCGCAGCACTTGGTGGAGCCCTCTGTTGCTGTGTCTGTCTCTGGTACCAGTGTCCCCCACCTCTGGTACTCCAGACCCTGCGTTCCTCTACCATGTGGCTGCATTGTTTCATGAGGAGACCTCATGGCCCTGCACAGGACCTGGCACCCAGAGCGTGCCCAGGAAATGCTTAATGAATCCAGGGCCTCTGGATCCTGCTTTCAGAGGCTGTAAAATAAAAACCTTAACATTCTTGCCAGAAAAATGCAGGTTTGAGGGCAGATCCCCATTTCTCAAAAGATTTCACAGCATCTTCCCACTTTGGAGAGGCACAAACACTGCCTTTGGGTGATTGAGTGACTAATTTTTTCATTATTACCAACAATGGCTAACAGTAGCATCACAATTTAGAAGTGACAAGGTCCCTGATTTCATCTGAAGCTCATAGCGACCATATTTTAATACAAATTTTACAGTTGGTAGAATGAGGCTCAGAGAGGTACTGTCACTAACACGAGGTCACACAGCCAGTGAGAGGCAAAGCTGGGATTTTATTTCCTCATTCCACAGACACATTGTGGAGCACCTTCCATGTGCCTGGTATAGGCTAGGTGTGGGATGCAACAGGGAGCAGAGTGGGTGAGGGTCTTGCCCTCAAGGAGGGTACTTTTAAGTGGGGGAAGGTAGACACTGGGCAGGCGTATAGAGATGTGACAAGGAGGTAACGATGCTTCACCAGGGCTCTGTCTTAGAGAATGGTCTGGGTGCCGCACTTATAAGGGCAGGGTTCAAGGAGGCCCCTCTGGGGAGGTGACATTTGAGTAGAGACTGGAGGGTAAGAGGGAGTGAGCAGGGAAGAGCCTGGGAGCCGCTTACATCTGCTTGGATGTGCCCAGTCCTGGGGAGCTCATTCTCTGATGCCACTCTACCCTCTATGGATTTCTTTTTGGTCAACATTTCTGGTTCCTTTGTCTATTTCTTAGTGTCACCTCAAGTGCCACTTGGGCCTCATTTCCCCACGCCTTCCACTTTGTCAGAATTCTAACAAAATGGCCACTTCTGGAATTACTTTTCTCCCCTCCTCTGGGATCTCTGATTCCTGCTTGGTTTCTCCCCTCCTTTTTGGGGACTTCTTAACTTCCTTCTCTATACCCGCCCCTCCCCACATGAACACATTCTTTCTCCTCTAACCTCTCTGGCACCATCCAGGCACCATCATCTTCATGGAGCCTGCTCAGTGCCAGGGCGAATGAGCTCCTTTTCAGCTGCTGGCTTGGGCATCTTCATTGAGCTTGATTGGC